GGATGGCAGAGGTTTCGATTTGATGGTCAGAGAAATTCAAAGTATAGTCAATCGAGATAATCACTTTTTCACTCATAAAATTATCAAAAGCAGTTCCAGGTTGTCAAGTCGAGCAAAAAATTAAGTGTACTGTACTGTACTACTATTGCCAACTGCATACTTTTAGGCACCCTTTACACCCCATGGTACTGACTTAGGTTTTTATAACGTAGTAGACTCTTATGTATATTAAGTACTATAACATATTACTTTTTCTTATCTCATGGTTAAACGTTCCTAATTGGGTTGAAATTCCTCTACATTTAATCAAAAAGAATGAAGAATCTTTCGATAGAGCTGTTTATCTCATAGAAAATTTACTTGGCATGAATTTAAATTAATGAAAATAGTAAACTTCAAATAAAGAATGATTAAAGATACAAAATATTTGTATTAAATTAGCGAAAAGTATTTGTCCAGTTATTTGTCAGACGTTTTTCACTAGTTTATCCGACAACCATCCAAATTCACTTGATACAACCAACGCAGATTTTGGCGAACTTGGTTGCTTATCATATACTAGTATTAAAAATAATTTTTACTCTATTTCTTTTAAACGATTTTGGAAATTAGTACCCTGATTCATCTCAGCTTTTTAATTTTGATTTTGGAAATTAGTTCATATCAACAGCTCATATGCCACCAAATTTGACTGTTCTTTTAGGTATATGAAAGAGATGTAAGCACCATTAATTGTAGTTATCACAATTATCGAAGTACTATTCGAGCTAGTATTTGTACTAATCAACATCGTTTTGCACTTCATTATTATTATAGCAGATAATAATAAGAAAGTAAAGTTGGGAGGTCCCAGCTGGAGCAGATGTAAGGTATGATTTATGAATTCGTTGGAACTTAATAACTTTGATTTTGATTTTATATCATATCTAAGAAATTTACTGAATAAGTAAAAACAATAGATATCGAACCTAATAAAATAAAAAAAATTGTGGTAGAATTTTAAACTTAAACCCATAAATTATGGCACAAAACAGAGGAGTGAAGAGACTAGAGAACAAGCTAGACACGAAGTCCTGCCTGTCTTTGGATTTATAATTAAAACAAAAGAGAGAAAAAGCAAATGCCAGCTATTCCCACATCAATAATTGAAATGTTAGTAGTAGCATGTGTAGAAGATGATATTTGACTTAAACTGTGGTGGGTTTTTTTGGTACTTGAAAGCTCAGTGTCCTGCTGCTTTTCTTGTTGTGGGACCCACCTTAGTAACACATGCCGAATAAGTTTATGGATTTTGAATTTACAATCGATCAGGTTACTGGGTTCTTAAATAAATATATATATATATATATATATAATTAATTTTTTAATACTAATATATACTATGAGATTTTTCCGAACCCGTAAACAATACATTACCTCCGCCTCTGCCTTGTAATATTTACGAATATATATATAAGCAGTGGAGAAAAATTAGGAAATGCCGGACACTAGGAAGGAGCTAACGTTTGTGGGTAATGAAGAAACGGACAAGTGGTCTCGGAGGAAACGCGTTTACTGTCGGGGGACAGTGCCTCACTGTTGCCACTGCTAACTTCACGCCAATCCTTTTATGGATTAGGTTTTGTATCACAATCCAACACACGCACTCAATGTGGAATCTATTTTACATTATTTTATTACTTACTCCATTTCAATTTCGTAAATAAAATACATATATTTACGAAAAAATTATAATGTATGTTTGTGGTGTATATACATTATAAATCATATATTTTTTTTAGGAAAATTCATATATATATATATATGCATATGTTGTTTATATATGTCTTTATATTTAATTATATATCATCGATCCATTCCATAATAATTTTTTTCCTTTTTACACATGGACCTTTTTATTTAACTTAATCCTAGCAAAATTATATATTTGTATATTCCAATGGAATAAAATACATATATTTCGTGAAAAAATAATATAATATATGTTTATGGTACATTATAAATCATGTGTTTTTTAGGAAAAATTATGTATATATGCATATGTTATTTATACACTTATTTATATTTAAAGAGATATTATAAATATTCCATTTATATTTTGCACTAAAATAACATGTATATTTGTACAAATTATCCGTATATAAATAGTATATGTGACATATTTTTTTCTTCTATATACATATTAGTGGCATACTAATATTTTAGATTAAATTTTATGTAAGGTATATGCTAACAATATACTTTGAATAATATCAATATAATAATGTAGTATGATGTATATATAAGTTATATATGTGGTATATATATATATAACATATTGATGGAATATTTACATTGTAAATTATCACAATATAATATACTTGAAATATGTTAAATGTATATTTTTAGTTAAAATAAAATTGTACAGAAAAAAGTTTAAAACTCAAAAAAGAAAGAAATACTAAAATTCTCATTGTGTAGAGAGAATTATTTTTGAGATATTCTTCTTTCAGAATCTTTGATATATTTGGGTAAGTGTTATTTATGGAAGAGAAAAAAGAAGTTATAGAAGAGTGAGAGAAAAGAAAATGTAGTAAAAAGTGTATTAATGTAGAGGGATCCCTTAGTTAATGGAGTTATCAAAATGAAAGTGCTAAAAAAGTAAAAAAAAAAAAAAAAGTGCTGTTTTTTAAATAAACAAAGTCTACTATCATTTATGATAATAATTTTTAAAAAGGGACCAAGCATGTAAAAATCTGAACAAGCTATGAGCCTGATTACCTTGACAAACTGTGCTTGTAAAATACAATGTAACAACCCTTATCAATAAAAACACCTATTTGTCCAATACACGACTACCTTACCCCTTCCCAATTTGGTACATCTGATAAACCCACCGTCAAATTTGATCTCCTAAGTCCTAGCCCTTGTAAATAGGATTTCTCCCTATAAATAATATTCGTCTGTCTTAGTTAGAGAGTATGATATTGGCACAATGAAGCACCAAATGGTTCTACTGGAGAATATTTTGTTCTCTTAAAACTGTATGCATGAGTACATGCAATATCGGCGTTCCAAAAGTTTTTGGTCCAATATCAGTTAGCATACGCAACTCTACATATCATTATTTGGAGAACACAAAACAATATAACTCTCTAAAAGAGTACTTTCCATAAAAATAAAAATTGTAAGTTTGTAACGACCACAAAAATAGCTTTAGAGGACTTTCATGTGAATAAAGAGAAACGAAAGAGGAAATGCATATCGTGAAAACGAAGCATAATCTTTTGGTTCTTCTCAGTGTCTTATCCCACACTCGTTATATTCTTTTCCATCTTTGACTCTGCAGTGGAAAACCAAAAAAAGGAAGTGGAGAAGGAAAGTAATTCTCTACCCAAACTTAAAGCAGGATTGAACTGCTATGTCCAAAGCATACTTTTTCCTTTACTGTCAAGAACATAAACAACATGATCCAGTGATACGTCAAAGTTCAAACCTTGGGATCTGCACACTGATTCCATCAACACTTTTACTTTAACGTCATTCAAAATTGTCGCCCTTCTGCACAAGAGACCAATCCTTCCCATTCAGACAGATTCCTTATACTTTCAGACACCATTTCAGCCTTTTGTCTTCTCAAGATCCTAGTAAAGCCAAAGCCAAGATTCATCTTGTGCTTTTCCCCCCTTTTTTCTCCACTTTACTTGTAGTACAAATATTCCCACCCCTTTTTTCTTCATCACACATGAAAATAAGAATGAAAAGAGAATAAAAGAGTAAAAACATTGGGGTTCTCAAGCTAATTACCCCTCAAGAATAAAGGGATAACTAAAAGATGTGTCTAAATTTTCCTTTAAGAAAAAGGTGAAAATATTGGCAAAACTTCTATTATTCACACCATATTATGTACAATCTCTGTGCTATACAATCACAGGCCGAATATTAAACCAAAAACCAAACCTTGGACTTGTTACAATTCTGGCTGTCACAACATCCCAGCTTATGATGCCACTACAAAGCAGAAAATGAAAAAAATATGTCAAGGTTGAAGACAGAAGAGATAGAGCCACTTGCATGAATCATTAGATACTGCATAACATTTCCGTGTTCATAAGGTCATCTCCAACCTTGCCCCCATCCCCCCCATAATAGGGGAAATATTTGGGGGAATTTAGCTCCAACCCTCCCCCATTTTTGTCCCCAAAATGGGGGATGAATAGTGTTCCCTCAAATATGGGGGTACACTATTCATCTTCCCCATTACTATTCATCACTTTTTTATTATTATTTTATTATTTAATCTTTTAATTTATCTCTTTATATATACCTAATTATGTTTATGTAATGTCTTTATAATATTAATATTATATCTTAACTTTGGTGTATAATTTTGATAAATTAATTTTCGTGCATTTATTATTTTTATGTAGAAATGGTAGTAGATGAAAATCAACGATTTCAAGAATTTTTATTTCGACATAGAAGAATTAAGGACAAAGATGCTCATTTTGCACTTCGTAATGCATTAATAGATCATTTATGGGAGAATACTAGAGGTTTAAGTTGAATATTTATCTAGTATTTCAAATGAATTTTATCGTTATGTAATATGTATTTAATTAATCTTGTATCGCAATGATTTCACTTTTATTTGAATTATTAGTTAATCTATGATAATTGCTTACAAATTATATTATTTAAAATTTTATGGAATTGTTTTAATTACGGAAATTACAAATTAATAAAAATAAAAGATGGAATTTGTTTAATGGAAATTAAAAAATGAAATTGAAATGAAAGATAATAATATAATATAGAAGAATTAGAAGAATATAAAAAAGTTTGGGAAAAAAAATGGGGGAATGGTTGGAGTAAGTTGTCCCCACCCCATTTTTGGGGACCAAAAATGGGGTAAAGTTGGAGATGCCCTAAGAAATACTCCTATTTAGATTAACTCTGATGGCAATAAGCAATGTAACCAAAACTTATTATTATCTAGGTTTACCTTCGTTGACCTTAATCTCCAGAAGTTCCTCAATGGGTTGGCGGCATATAGGGCACTTATTTGATTGATGCCTCAGTGCTTTGGCGCACTCACTGCACAAACACTGCCATTTTGAAATACCAGAGTTAATGGACATCAAAGAGGAAAGAAATTGAGAATATAAGAGAAGGCACAACTTTAAAACAAGAAAACTTCCTGCTGACAGACTATACCTTCACTTCATTCTCTTGCTTTCCTATATTTTATCGTTTTTCATTTTTTATTTAATGTAAGGGCAATTAATAAGTCCCTACAGGAACTCAAAGGAGAGATCAGATGATCAAATAAAGCATCCTAAAAAAACTACGACATTAAAAATCAGCAGCTAGCATTTAGTTCCGTTGGTTTTAGAAACCCTCAATATATCTCTCCCACTTCTTGCAAATGTCTAATGCTCATAAAACATAAAGTCTATTTCTCTTTCTTTTATTAATCACTCCCTCCTTCCCACTTATGTCACATAATATAGAAGAAAAAAAAAAAAGGAAGTTGTCACAAATTATTACCTCGAGTTATTTACAATTTTGAGAATATTAGCCTATTAGGTAGTGTTTAAAGGAAATGCTAAAGCGGAAAATGACCTATAAAATTATATAAACATTAGCGTCTTCACGTGAATATATTATTACAGATGGTCACCTTCATCTGCTGAAATAGGTCAACCTTTAGCTCCACAAAATTTTCTATAAAGTGTATAAGCAGGCACACAAGGCAGACATAGATGTGTCACATAGATTCACATAGTCCACTAGGGAGGGTTAGTCATGGCAAAAGCTTCAGAAGGCAGACTAATAAAGATCACATCTCGCTGGCAGACATATTTCTTTAGCCTTAAACTCTTCTGACTAGTACTCTACTTGCTTAATTCAGTATTGTGAGAGACCGTAAGTACAATTTTACATACATTTCAGATTTCTAATAATTATATATCCAGAAGTAGTGAATTTTTTTAAGCTTTTTCAATGAGAAATAAACGTAGAGGTAACAACCTGTTAAAATTGATCAAAAGCATTTGGTAGTCATTTGACCCCTCTTGAAATTCGAGGGCCTTATCCCCAACTCCAGCTCTGGAGTTCATTATATTCCCCAATGTCAACCTCCAATAAAGACTGAACTCCGGTATGTTACTGGGAGAACCAAGTCTGCCAAATTGCAAAAGCAATTATTGGTTTGTTCTTCTTTTTTGGGTTAATTTGTTGTTCTTAAGTAATGAAGCAGCATCTATAACCTAAAGATTCATACAAGATTTTCAAACTAGAAGCAAGACCAACAATGAGTGAATGTGCGGGTGCAGACTAGAGACATCAGGAATGGTCAAGTTTTTCCAAAAGTCTACTATATCATCAATGTTCACAAAAACCTATGGCCCATCATATGCTCCAGTAAACTCCATGAGAAGAAGAGCCATCAGCCCTTCTTTTTTTTTTTTTTTCCTTTTTGAGAGGAACGCCTTTACACAAGTGTAAAATCCAACACTACTTCTGAACAGGTTACTGATAAAAGTATGAGCCAAGAGTAATATGCACCAGATTCTCTAGACTTATCATATATTATTAGCTTGAGATATTGAAGAAATAAATCAACTGTCAAAGTAATGACCATACCATATGCCTACATGGCAAAACTGCTGTGTCTTTTGGCTCAGTCATACAAATCACGCATTCTTTTCCTGACTCGTCATCATTGACGGTAGTTTCATCTGAATTGCTGATACCATAAATCTCTCGCAACTCATAGCGAACTCCTTCAATCCATAAAATCTGCTTGATCACTTTCACTTGAAAATGATCCTCATTATTCTTCACTAGCACAGCTTCAGTTATTTGTGCATGGGGAGACTTATCTAGTGATTGCTCATCAAACTTCTCATCTGTTGGTGTAGACGGAAAACATGACTCCGCTGATATAATAAGCGGGAATATTTCTTCTCCTTGGGTTGGCTTTGATAAGTCATTGACGTCAAAAAACCCGAGGTCAATTCCAGTTCCTGAAGGCTGGCAAAACTTTTGGCCCAGTCCTTTTTCAAATGGTATTTGAACAGGCTTGATTTCAGGATATACAGGACTGAATTTGCAGTTGGCCCCTTCCTTCGCAAAGTAGAAAATGGTGATACTGCAGGCAAAGGACAAAGGAAAAGAAATAAATGTTATTCTAAATTTTTTGGTCAAAATAATAGTAAATGCTATTTTATGAAACATCAACTGAGTGCCAAACTAGGATAGCATAGCACCAGCATCACTAACATAAGTAAGAAGCAATCATTGGAACCAAAATGCCAACAGAGCATATTCTAAAAATTAAGTAAAAACTTTTCGAACAAGACTGCGAAATGGCTGAGAAACAATCACATTATATATAGGTTCATGAACAAGATTCATTGCCAAACCTCAATCAGAAATACTCACGCAAATTTAGCAGTGTCACAAAAGAGAAAGATCTATATTCTGTTCTGCCAGACCCAAAGAACTGGCTCTTCACAAGAAAATAAACACAATTTACTCATTCCTATTGCACAAGGCCCTATCAAGCAGAGGCGGAGCCAAGATTTGAAGTTACTGGGTTTGGGATTCTAACATTTTTATGTTACTGGGTTCTTCTAAAGTAAGAATTTGTACTTATTCAATAAATTTCTTAAGACAAATATATGGTTTGGACTAAAGCTACTAGGTTCGACCGAATCCGTTGTCGAAGCTCTAGCTCTGCCGCTGCTACAAGAACAGGGAGAAGCCAAACAGAGAAAATGCAGGAACTTCATTCCCCTATAAAACTTGAAGAGAAAGCCAAAAGACAACTGCTCCATTGACAGGTTATTTGTGACTCCAAAAAAGAGAGAAGCCTGCTCAGTACGATGGCCTACTTAAAAACCTATTACTTAAGAAGGATTTGTTATGCGCCACGTACCGAAAACCTTCTCATAGAAATACAAAAATTAACCTGACTGATCTTTTCGTCGGAGATGTTCTTAATTTTAGATAATGAAAGCACTCAATTATTACTAACCCAAAGAAATATGACCTCTCTGAGATATACGGTTTAATAATCAATCAGAATGTAATGCGCATGTCGCCATCCAGGAATCTGATATTTGAAAAAGTGTCTGATCCAGAAGAACTTCCAAACATCTATCTATTTGTGGGGTTTGTCCTCTAAAACGAGGGCTTAAAGAAAAAGAGGAAACAACAATTTTCTTATACAATAATAAAGAAGTACCTCAAGCAAAATAAACTCAGATTTTTATGTCAATTGATATTTCATAGATGATCTCTTTAGACTACATACAAACCAACCAGTGACAGAGCAGGGATTTCACTTTGGGGGGGGGGGGGGGGAGGGGGGGGGGGTTTCAAAATATAAAGAAGTAAACACACAAAGAAGCCAAGGGATTCAACATACACACACACACACACATACATATATATATATATATATATATGAAAAAAATGACTAATCTACATAGTATAATTTTCCGGCGAATAGGTGCCTATTGACTCCCTTTGGACAAGGTAGCTCCACCCCTGCCAAGCTACCATACTAGTTCAGATGTTAAAACATTATTAGCCAAGAGTTTAGCTCAATGAGGCTCACTGAGCTAGCTAAGTTATTATTGTGGAGACCTTGAACTTAGAAGTTTTTATCTTCAAAAGTTATTGGCAGACCTTCAAAGCATTGTCATGTAGTTTTTGCCGAACAAGACAAGAGGATGTAAAAGAGTAACTCATAATAGCTTCAATTAAACTTTTGTCAAGCCTTGGGATCAAGACTCTCACCATAACTACTAGAATATCATTCCATAGATCGATAACACAAAAAAATTGCCTAAATTAAAATCTTACGTAAACAGTTGGATCAGGCTTACACAGCTTTACACAATACTATCCCTTCGATCCCTGAGTTTTAATCTCATATAATAATAGAAGCAAAATAATTGTTATATTATCGAGGGATCATAGTTCTAATCGATACCACAATATCCATCAAAATAATTAAATCAAAGCCAAATTAGACATAATTCAGTCAAAAACTTACAGCATTTTTGCAGCCACTACATAAGATCATTTACAGAATTACAGATTCCTCATTAATTTTCAATTTAGTCATGTTTTTGAATCCTCCATGCCAGGGTTCCTTAGAAGCTCATTTCCATAACAAATTACAGAGTAGTAACTACACAACTCAAAGGCATAATAATTAATATAAAAATGAACCATGAAATCAAAGCAAGAGGGAAAAATGATTAGTACCTTCCATCAACAAGGGCATCAAAAGTAAAGGTAACCAAATGGCAATCCTTATTGAGCTCATCGAGTTGAATCCGTATAGTATCCTTATGAACATTAACATCATTCTTAATCTTCTTTGCATTTTGGTGATCCACATACGGCACCACCGGCAACGGCGCTGGCGGAGGTCTAAACCCACCCCCCCATCCGTTATTACCGTGAGGATGATAATAAGGAGGGTAATGATTTTGAAAGACTACAGGCCTACTACTACTACTACTACCATAACTGGACTGATGATTGAAACTGAAATGGTAATTATAAGAATTTGAAGGAGGTGGTGGTGGAGGGTAAGTCGGGACTACGTTATGGCGTGGAGGCGGGGGGAGTAAAGGATAGGGGTTTTGCGAGGGGGGAGGTGGTGGTGTTGTAGTTGGAGGAAAGGAGTAGCTTGGGTGGGGAGGTGGTGTAATAGGAGGGAGGGGCGGAGGAATGGAAGAAGACGGTGGCGGTAGTGGCGGAGGAGGGTGGTGGAGGTGATGATTTTGTTGCCTTTTACTCAAAGAAATTCCCATTTTTCTTGCTTAGGGAAGAAGAGGCAGAAGACGAAGAAAAGTTTTGAAGAAATCAGCGGAAAATTGGAGGAGGAGATGGATGAAAAATGTGGGACCCACGCGGGAAGATTTGGTCTGATCAACGTTTAAGGGAAATGGGTAGGATGTTTAGGTGTTGAAGAAAAATTAAATAATTTGCATTTGTACAAGAACTTGATTTTTTTTTTTCCAGCGTTAGTTTAATAAAAAAAACTCAACCTCTTCTTTTAAAAAAAAACTTTTTTTTGCAAATTTGGCTATTAAAGTCGGTAGTGAAATTAAAACGTCAGATTATGATTAATCCCATATTATGACGACAAGAACATTACCTTATGTTAATAATTTTTTTATATTGTTATTTTATGTTATTTTGATTCTAGAATATGTCAGAATTTGACATTTCTGTGTTCTAACAATGTATAGAAGTATATCTTTTTTTATTATAAATTATTTTACCTTTTTAAATAGAAAAAAAGGCGTGATCTTATTAAATCGCATTTCTTTTCGTCTTATTAAATTGCAGTTGTACTTGTAAATTTAATACTTCTATAAAGACTTGTGTTTGAACAAAACAAAGAAAAATCTAAATAGTATATAAAGTAGGTATTTAACTTATTCAAAAGGACTAAGCATTTAGTCAAAGATATAACTTTTCTTATTTATGATTTTTCTCCAACGAGGATTATTGGCATTCTTTTCTTCGCTGCTGGCAATTAAATAAAATAATATTAATATTGTTGAAATGCCATTTTGACCAAAGATCAAATAAAACAATTTGATGGAGAATTGAGGATCTCGAAGCCTAGTTTTGGGCTTCGACGAAAGAAATGTAGTACATTATTTACTTCTCATTAGGTTTTAATAATCTCTTAAATTAATTATTAATTATCACGATTATCACGGTTCTATTCCGGTTTATTTATTCATCATTTTGCTGTATAAATTATTAGAACTATGAGTAGACGGTTGAAGAAATGAATGTGTTTACCTCGAATAAAGAAAGTAACAGACAAAGCTAGCAAGATAAACCCCAACTTTCTCTCTCTAGAAAGTAGATGACTATACCACCTATTTCCACTAGCCAAACCACCTCAATCCCACCCAAATCACCAAATATTCCAACCAATACTATGACAAGCGTGAGTCGATCAAATGATCATAATCCTACTCCCCTAGGAGACTCTCTCACGGAATTGAAAAGAAACAATTGAAGAGAAAATTCTAGAAAACTTGAATGAGAAGAAATGATTTCATTGATTGTCCTGCTGCTATAATGTATTGTCTATATATATATATATATATATAGCTCAACTAAGAAGTAAAAATATATATTGCTAGTGCTACGTAAACTCATATTGGCCTAGTTGTAACAAAAATATAGACTAGTATAATTAAATACACATGTGCTCCTGTACAGCTGTCTGTGTCCATGTTCCTGCCAATCTAGAACCTTCCACGTGCATCAGACTTCATCAAGTAGAACTAATTAAAATTATTTGGTCAAGTTTAAGTCTCCTTTGCCTCTACCAAACACTTCCTCACGGATGTGTATTGACTCAGATTCATCACTGGCAACACCCCCCCCCCCCCCCCCCCC